TATTTTTTGTTGTTGTTGTTGTTTGTTTGTTTTTTTGGTGAAGGGCGTGTATTGGGGATTGAATCCTGAATCCTGAAATGCTTAACCACTGAGCCACAACCCCAACCCTTTTTAAATATTTTATTTCAAGACAGGGTCTTGCTGAGTTACTTAGGGCCTTACTAAGTTGAACTTGTGATCCTCCTGCCTCAGGCTCCTGAGCTGCTGGGATCAGGTGTGTCTTCACAGATACACCTGATGTGTGTCAGATGTGTCTTCACAGAGTCTACAGCCAAGCTATGCCCTGCCTCAAGCTGATGTGGGGACAAGATGACCTCTCTGTGCTCCTCTCCCTGAACCAGAATCTTTTAGATGAACTCCTGCATACAGGGCAAAGCCCAAAGTCCTCCTGAGACAATCAACCCCTCTCAGGCCTCAACCCACACAACATGAGGTTCTGATGATTTCCAAATACGCCAGTCTTTTACTCAAGTGACCATTTTCCCCCTTAACTGCCTCCTAGTGGCTCTGCTTGTGCTTGTGCCCCCACCTCTCACCCAATGCCTGCCCATCATGTGATGAACAAGCTGGGTAGGATGGATAAAGAGCCTTAAAGTCCCTCTAGTTGACCCCTTAGTTCCCACCAGAGGAAGAGAGCTGAGTCCCAGTGCCACTAGATGGCAGTGCTCAGCTGCCCACCTCTGGCCACAGCAGTGCGCAGGAAGGGAAAAGTCGCTGTTGGTTTTCTAAAACCCACGTTTCTAAAACCCGCTGTGGGTTTTCTAAAACCCACGTTTGTATCAACCAAGAAAGATCAACCCCTTTATTCTCTATACTTGCCTCTGACTGCTATGATTGTGTCCTCTACAGCACAAAGCCTTTGCTCCTCAATAGCTGTAAAGTCAGATGACTTGAGGAACCTTCTCTGAGTCTCCATTTCCACATCTGTAAAATGGGGATTTGCCATACCTATTTCTCCAAGATAATTGTGAGGATAAAATCAGTGAAAATTAGCCGAGCACGGTGGCGCACACCTGTAATCCCAGCAGTTTGGGAGACTGAGACAGGAGAATTGCGAGTTCAAAGCCAGCCTCAGCAACTGCAAGGCACTAAGCAACTCAGTGAGACCCTGCCTCTAAATAAAATACAATAGAGGGCTGGGGATGTGGCTCTGTTCTTTTGGTAACAGAAACTGAACTCAGGTGGAGTACCCCTGAGTTCAGTTTCTGTTACCAAAAAAAACCCAAAAAACAAAACAAAAAATCAGTGAAAATTGGACAGGGCAGGTGCCTTTAACAAATCATTCCGTTTAATAATGCTAATGCTAGTGCATCTGGGATGGGTTTGGCTGGGAGAAGTGGGAGCTGAGTGGGGGTGGCCATGTCCTACTGGCTGCATTGGGACTATGTGGGCACCACCCTGGCGGTGTGGATAGCAGAGGGGCAGCTGCTAGTGAAGAGGGAGGGAATCAGCACAATTTGCCCTAAAGTCATTGGTGGCTTTAGGTTCTCCAGGGAATGCATGCAAGTTCCTTCTGTCAGCTCTGCAAACTTGGAGCAGAGGTTAGCAGAGTTGTTTCCTAACTTGCATTCTCTCCTCCCTGACATCTGCCTTTCCTCATCCCCAGACTTGAGGCCCATGACTCCATCCAGTTCCAGAAGCTCTGGATATGTTGACACTTCTCATGGGTGTGGGTCTTGTCTGTACCTCAGCCTGAGGACTCCCAAGGACAGGGTCCATGTCTCCCCCCACAGATGGGGGCTTCCTGATCCTGGGACCTATGTCTTCCCCTCAAATCCAGGTTTGCCTAAGAATGTAGAATCTTCCTCTGCCTAGACTAAGGCACCTTGGACCAGAGCTCCCTACCACTGAACCCCATGGTTCCTGGAGTCAATGTTTGTCTCCCCCTTCATTTGAAGGGGGCAATCTCAGAGCAGGGACGATTCCTTCTCCCCCCGCTCAGCCCATGCCCAGTCAGGCTTTTCTGTTTAGAAATGACCTCTGTGGCTACAGGACAGTTCAAGGCTGAACCCCAGACTCCATCCCCTCCTCTTCACTGGCCCCTCTCAGCATGTTCTTAGAGGCATAAGCTCACTCACCTTCACAGACCCCAGGGTTAATAAGCTGGGGCCCTTTCTCCCTGTTTCTCCTCACCCCAGCCAGGGCTGGCTCCAGCCTGCCCCTCACTCCCAGCCTCTAACCCTGAGATAGGCTTTTTAATTGCTTTCTCGGATCTGTTCTGTTCCCTGCTCCCCTCCCCTCCTGTCCCTGCCTGATTAGGTCCTTCTGGGAGGGCAAGAGGCGGGGGACCAGATGTGGCCCTGGTGGGAGGAGAGGGGTGGGGGGTGGGTAGCCTTTTATTTCCAAACCAGCAGTTCTCCAAATGGACCAGATGAACAGGGCAGGAGGGATGCACCTGGCTGAGGGGAGTACTTAGTTGAGGGAGGGGTGCTGGAAAGCATAGCCATAGCCAGAAGCCCCTGGGGTGACTCTGGTTCCTTTCTCCCCCCATGACCTTTGTCTCAAGTCTTCCTGGGCCCCTCTTCACAGAAGAACTATGCAGGAGGAGAAGACAACTACAAACTAGATTCTGGCTGGGAACCAGGATCCCCTACATGCAGCCAAGAGGGAGAGGCCCATTCCTGGGGGAATCTGGGGACTGACAAGCAGGGCTCTGGGACAGGACTCCTGAGTTAGCTGCTGTCAAGGAGGCTTCCCAGGTGGTGATGTCCCCTGTGAGGGCCAAGCTGAAGCTGGGTGGAGGCTGGACTCAAAGAGAAAGCCCTGTTCTTTCCCTTTGACAGGTCCCAACACCACTGGAGGATTTGGCTTACACTCAAGTGTCAGGGACAGGTGCCATCCTGACTCCCTGCATGGCGGGATCATGTCTTATTCTGCGTTGGCAGCTCTTGGCACTGAGCCTGGTTCTATGAACTGGGCAAAATTTGTACCCCAGGAAGGGCCAGGCATGAGTTTCAGGATGAGAAAGGAGGTGAGTGGAGGGGCTTGGGGAGAGGGGCTCCTAAACCCACGGAAATGGAGTGAGGGCTAGAATGAGGCAGAGGTGAGGGGGTGTTAGGCCAAGCTGGGCCTGCAATGAATGGGAAGCCATCGATTGCCATGTCTCATGGACGATTCTCTTTATGTAAGAACAATCCAATCCAGAGAACAATCCAGAGCCTCACCGCCCACTAAGGTCAGCTGAGGGCTTGCTGCCCCCCTCAGTCCCTGCCCGCTGCCTGCAAAGCCAGGCTGCCTCTGGCATGAGGGACACCACACAGCGAGCGCTCTCAGCCCGACCTCCCATGATTGAGGGCAGGAGCTGCACGTGCTTAACTCCATCAGCACAGTCTTTGTGCATTTAATGGGTCACCCGAGAGCATATTTTGCACCACAGAGCCACAAATGTTTGCCAAGAGGATGGCTGGCTGCCGGACATCCTTGTCAAGTGTGACCTCTCCCACTCTAGGACTGCCCCCAACCCAGGCAAATTCTGCCTCGCGCAAGGACCCTATTGTTTGGAGGTTGCCCTCCTGGCCCTAGTCACCAGCCGCCTTGCCCTGTGCCTGCTGCCTCTGCCCTTCCAGGGTGACGGTGATGATCAAATGAGATAATATATGTGAGGGCCCCAGGAAATGGGGAAGTTATTCAATTTGAATCCAGCCAACATTCAGTGAGGCCTCCTGAGGTCAAGGCAACATGCCAGGCTGCCAGGGGCTACAGATGTGAAACTGACTGATTCCAAGGGAATCACAGTACACAAGGGGGAAAAACTCATTAAGGCTAATTGGAGAGGCGGGAACCCTAGGCATGTGAAAAGAAATGATGTCTCTTCACTTCCAAAGGGAAGCAGCCCAACGTTAAGAACTAGACCCCGGGGTTGGATCCCAAGCACATGCTGTTTAACTGTGGGCAGGTTTGGTGAACCCTTTTTTGGGTCCGTTTCCCATTATCCACCTCGTAAGGCTGTGAAGCTCCAAGAAGCCCAGCAGCTGCAGGAGTATTCTTCCCCACACCTCCAAAAAGGGACTGGGACTGAGCAGGAGGGGTACACAAAGCAGACAGGGAGGCTGGTCCCCCAGAACAGCTAGGACTGCCTTGAACTTAGCAGTGTTATTTACACACTACTCACAATGTGCTAAATACCCCTAACATGTTTGTTTTCAGAAGCAAGTTAAACACAGATTCCTGTAATTTTATTTACACTATTAATTCATTCAGTCAACCATGTCTTCATGGAGAGGAGATAACTATGTTCCACACAATCCACTGAGTGGGAAGGAAGGCAGGCCCCCAGCCCCCTTGTACTGGGTTCCATCAGTGGGACCTTGAACCATTAAAAAAAAATTCTCTCCAGTCAGGCACAGTGGCACAGAGTACCTGAAATCCCAGTGACTCAGGAGGCAGAGGCAGGAGATTTGCAAATCTGAGGCCATCCTGGACAACTTAGTGGGACCCTGTCTCAAAAATAAAAAAGGGCTGGGGATGTGGCTCAGTGGATTCAACTCCTAGTACCAAAACAACAAAAAACTCTCCCTGGGGCTGGGGATGTGGCTCAAGTGCGCTCGCCTGGCATGCGTGCGGCCCAGGTTCGATCCTCAGCACCACATACAAAGATGTTGTGTCCACAGAAAATTAAAAAATAAAATATTAAAAAAATTCTCTCTCTCTCTCTCCCTCTTTAAAAACAAAAAAACCTCTCCCTGACTGCAGGACTCCAGGCAACCCACCCCTGAGGTGGTAGCATGGACCAGACCCCAGGATGAGGTTGCTTTTTGACCCCTGCTCCCCCAGAAATAAAGGCCCATTAGGGAGGAGGATTGGGAACTGGAGTGAGGAGCTGGGCTCAGTCCTAGCCCCAGACCTCCTGCAGCAAGAGGCTGGGTGGGTGTTGTTTTCTATACTCAGAAATTTCGAAGAATGAGAAGGTGAGAAAGAGAAAGTGTTGCCATCCCACATAGGTGTACAGAGGAAAAACACACACCAAGGATGGAAATGGTTTATTAATCATTATAGTAAAAAAATACATCATATATGTGTGTAAATGTGGGTATGTGTGTGTGTATATACATATATATATATACACATATATATGCATAAATATATATATATATATACACATATATATACATAAATCAAGAAGCAGGAGGGTGTAAACCCTGGAATCACTAGCATTTATACCTGGGTGGTAACATTAAGGCTGCATTCATTCTCCTTTCTTCTTATACTCATGTGTGTCTATGTATAATGGGTAAAGATTAATAAAGTTGGCTTCCTCTGTAAATCAAGGCACCATCATTAGCTCCATCATGAAGAGCCAAGATGTGACTCCCTAGAACACCCCCACCGGCCTCATCCCTCCACCGAGGCAACAGCTATCCCCGCACAGAGCTCTGTGTTAGACATGGGTAGTGAACCGAGCCCAAAAGAGCCCCTGGCCTGATAGTGGGCTTTGGAAATGAGGGGGAAACAGGTGGCAACCTTTAAATATTAACACATTAACACTCACAAATGAATATGTACATGCTGAGAAGCTGAGTGTTATAGAGATTAATAAAGAGGATGGGAGGCGGGCGTGGTGGCGCATGCCTGTAATCCCAGCTGCCCAGGGGCTGAGGCAGGACTGTGAGTTCAAGACCAGCCTGGACAACATAGTGAGACTCTTGTCTCAACAAAACAAAAATAAAATGAAGAGGACGAGTAGCAGAATGAATTGTTGGGGCGGGTGTTAAATAAAGGAAAGGTGCGTCGGCATAAATTTTTCCAAGGTAAGAAAAGAAGGTCAGGGTTCCTGGTGTCCGAGTCTCCAGGGACAAAGTGAAGGCATTGAGCCTAGAGGGGCTGGAGGAGCTGGACAGCTTGGAGGTCAGGACACCTTGGCAATGCAGTTTCCAGCTGACAGCACACCTCCAGTCCCAATCAGTTCCTTCTGGGTCCTTTGATCACTGAGGCAGCGGGGACTCAAGGATGGCTCTGCAGGTGGGTACAGGAAGAAGGTGAGATTCTACCCCACAGCTCCCCTGCCTCTTGTCCCATCTTCCACCTCCCTCTTCATGGTCCCTGAGATGCTTGGAAGAAGTATTCTAAGCTCTCCTCTCACCTGGATCCAAACCCCACTCTGTCCCCTCCTGCATCCTATTTTCAACTATCACTGTGGACCAGTCACCCCTCCCCTCAATTCAGTCACCTGGGATTGCAAGGGGCCCAGTTGGCCTCTTCAAGGTGCTGCTGGGGAAGCGGGCGATGCGGCTGCGGCCCTGGGAGACTGAGGAACTGAGAGAGGAAGGGAAGGAAGGAAGGTTACAGCCATGCCCTTGACTGTGGGTAGGTGGAGGGAGACAGCACTATCCGCTAAGCCTTGAGGGCAGGGGAGCTGAGAACCAGGAAGAGTTTCCAAGGCCAGATGCGGGAGCTGGAGAGGCTTATGGAGTTTGGGACATAGGAGAATAAAGAAGGGGATAGTCCAATCATTTGGATTAACCAATAAATGCTGAATATCTCCCTGTGGATAGGGGACCTTAGATGATCACTCTGGGATGATCCTATAATAACAATCAAAGGCCAAAGAAATTCCAATCAGAGAATTAGATGCTGGCTCTGCTCACAGGACCTTGGCTGCTTGCTCCAAGGAGTCCAGAGACACATCAGGAAGGGGGTCTGTGGGGTGTGCCTAACACCCCAATGAGGGCTCTTTCTCCATGCCCTCACCTCAACAGCTTCCAGACCTTACCTCATGGTGCGCTTCTTCTTGCAGGCTGAGTTTCCAGGGAGGGAAGATGTTGGTTTGGGGCCTTTCATGGTGAGCAGGAGCACAGGTTCACTGGGGAGCAGGCAGAGGGAGAGAAGCAGATAAGGAAGGAACCAGAAGTGACAGTGGCTACTCTTATTCCCTCTAACTCCCAGCTTGCGAGGACGGGGAGGTTGGACAAGATGACCTGAAGTTTCTTCCTGCTAAGAGGTGGATTCTCTCCCTGCCTCACCAGGCCTGGGCTGACAGCTGAGTGACAGCCCTGTTCTGGGAGAACATCCAGATGTCAGTTTCTGGTGCGTTCTGGGAACTGGAGTTCAAACAATTTCACCCTTCCACCTGCCCAGCTCTCAGCTTGTTACTGAGAGCAGGTTCAGGGGCTATGGAAGGTGCAGGAGTGCAGGTGGGCAGCCTATGGCCTCTGCCTCACAGGTCCCGGTCAGCCTGCCACTTGTTCTTGGCCTTGGACTGTCCTGAGCTGGTTGTTATTCCTCTCTCTGGCCATGTGGGTGGAGGGCAAGGGTAACAGCTGGACCTTCTCACTGGAAAATACTGAAGAAAGTTTTATTTCTCTATTCCAGATGCTGGGCTGGAGGGGAAAAATCTGGGGGGGAAAGTGGCAGAAATAGTTTTTATTCCAGTGGGACAAAACTCAGATCAGGACATAGTGCCCAAGCAAAGCAGAGGAACAGACAGGGCTGGGCTCATTAATTCCTGGTTCCCTGCTGACTCTTCCCAAGTGGGGGTTCTATTAGCTATGCATGTGCAAGCCACAAACCAGCATAGAGCTGGTGGATATGAGCATGAAGGCCCTGATATGACAGGACGGCCCCTGATTAAGCCATGCCTCCTGTCCTCTGTGCACTCTGCTCTCCTGGGACTGGGTGGCAAAGCTGACCATGACCAAAGGGAAAGAGATGGCAAATATCCTGTCTCCTAAATCCAATGTCTTCCATTCTTGTTGGCAGCACCCTTGCTGACCCCTGACCTATGCTGGGAGGTTGGGAGGGAGACTTACCTGGGAATGAAGGGCTGGTCCAGCCCGTTCAGTTCCTGGGGGACATTCTCCCAGCCAACAAATTCATGGAAATTGAGTTTTGATGGGGGTTCCTCAGAGAGATCAAAAGTGGTATTCAGGTCACGAGCAGGTAGAGGGGTGGAGCAGTTTTGCATAGCAGAAGGGCCCAGGGGCACCCGGCTTTTGATGACTGTAGCTGGGCAGAAGCGAGGGGAATGGCAGGGGGAGGAGGCCCTTGCCCCTTTGGGGGTGCTGGGCCCACATGAAGGCTGAGCCTTAGGCAGAGACCCTCTCCTCAGACAGGGTAGGAAAGACTGGCGCTGGCGCTTGGTCGCCAGCTTTGGGGCTAGGGGACTGTCTGGCTCTGTGAGGCTTGTGCTCTTTCTCTTCTTCTTCTTCTTCTTCTCTGTGGGCTGTTGGGATGCTGAGGCTAGGGTGCCATCAGGCTCAGATGGGATCCCCAGAGGGTGCATGAGGCCACTCAATCTTCTTGCCATTGTTCGGGTAACAGGGCCACAGTACCCTGGAGATTCTGGGCAGAGAGAGGAGGGTGCTGAGGAGAGACCAGGGACTAGCCAAGAGGAAAGAGAATGTGAAGAACTTGGGAAGCCAGACACTGGAGACATGAAGGAACCCTTAACTCCTCAGGTTTCCTGGGGCCTCTTTGTTTGCAGAAGTACACGATCCTTGGGGTCCAGCCTCCTAACCAGCTGGGCACCCATAGGCAGGCAGAGCAGGGGTGAAACTCACTTGAGGCTGAACACAGCTCCTGGGTCAGAGGGGCCCTCCCAGACAGGCCAGGAGTCCTGGAGGTCTTGTCCCCAGGCTCGGCTTTCTCCTCTTGCACCAGCTGCCGCAGGGTCTCGAACTCAGTAATCATGTCAGGGGTCAGGAGGTTGGCTGCCTGGAGCAGGGAATACTGCTTCTGGGCCAGGCACAGCACCTGCAGGGCCAACCTGGAATAGAAGGACAGGGAGCTCTACTTAGATACAGCCTGACCAGGGTCCTTTATGCCAGGCATTGTCCCCATCACTCGCTGTGGTTGAGGAGCATACCTGAGCTGGTCCCCTAGTTTTCTCCTGCCTTGCCCCACACTAGCTGGCTGGCCTCTCACCCAGGGTTCCAACTCTGTCATATCTTTGCAAAAGGCCAAGATGGCCATAGGCAAGGGTAATAAGTATCACCCATTATACATGCCCCATGACAAAGACAGTGACATGGAAAGTAGGGAAACGTGCTAAGTGACTTTGGACTTGGAAGGTCTTAGTTTCCTCTAAGCCCTGCCACTTATTAGCATTGTGATCATAAGCTCATTTACCCTGAGGGCGATATAAGGTAGCAGTTAAGAACCCAGCTTAAACTGGGTGGACTTCTGTAATCCCAGTGGCTTGGGAGGCTGAGGCAGGAGGATCATGAGTTCAAAGCCAGCCTCAGCAAAAAGCAAGGCACTAAGTAACTCAGTGAGACCCTGTCTCTACATAAAATACAAAATAGGGCTGGGGATGCGGCTCAGTGGCTGAGTGCCCCTGAGTTCAATCCCGGGTACAAAAAAAAAAAAAAAAAAAAAAGAACCCAGCTCAAGTCAGACTGCCAGATACCTGCTCAACTCTCAGCTCAACCCTTCCCAGCTGTGTGATCTTGGATGCACTGGTCCATAAACTTAAGAAAAGGATAACAAATGCACCCACTTCATAGGATTGTTGGAGAGATTGAGTTATTTTAGCCAAGCATGGTGGTGTACACCTATAATCTCAGTGATTCAGGAAGCTAAAGCAGGAGGATTCCAAGTTTGAAGTCAGTCTCAACAACTTAGAGAGGCCCTAAGCAACTTAGTAGACTCTTGTCTCAAAATAAAATTTAAAAAAAAAAGGAAAAAAGAGCCAGGGATATAGCTCAACAGTAAAGTACCCTGGTTTTAATCACCAGAACCAAAAACAAAAAGTTATTTTGTTTACAGAATGTTTAAAGAATACCTCACATATAGTAAACACTGTGAGTTTATTATATTATGCAAAATGGTAATAATACCATCTACCTCATTAGGTTAAAAGGAGACAAACTAAGATAGGTTAAATTGACCTTGACTCTGAGAAGACCCTCAAAAAGGCATTTGGTCTGTGTCCTCTATTTAGTGTATGGGATCCTGAAAAAGTGTGTGTGAATCAACACATATTTTACATGCTCTGGGAACTATTTAAAGGAAATTCTGAGGGTACTGAGATTATTAATGTTGTAAATTTAGATTCTCATAAAGCAAATTTTCTTTCTGTAAGGCACACCTATGATAAAAGAATAAACAGAATTACCTCAGTAGGATTATTCATAGCAAGTGATTTACCTTCAGGGAACACTACCTGTCTAGACACCTCTGAACCCCCACGGCCCTCGGTCACGTGTGCTCAGGGAACTTACACTCATTTGGTAAAGCAGCTTTGAAGCCTATTAGACTACTGAGAAGAGTGGGTTTTGGAGGGAAATGAATGGGCCTGGAAGTCAGATGACCCAGGTCTGGCCCTGTACAGAAGCCTGAGCCCCCACCCCCTCTCCAGCCAACAATTGGGGAATTGGTCTAAATCAGGAATTTTCAAATTAAGTTTCAAATGCCTATTAGACAGCAAGCAACTCTGCTGTCTGTCATATCTATTAGAACTCAGCGTGAGATTCCATGTAAAGAGAGGACTCTGCAGCTGAAAAAAAAAAAATCCTACGAAACCACTGAACTGGAAAATCTCAGCTCTGTTCAATGTCCTGATGACCCAAGATTCTCAATTCGAAAGCCAAATAGAAATGATTTTCGATTAACTGCTTGTCAGAGTGTTTCCAAACATGGAAATGATCTAGAATGTTCTACCACTCCTTAATCTAGGGATTGTATTAGTACTTCATTAATATTACATTAGTATTCTCCAAGAACTAGGGAGAATAAAGATTATGATCCCCAAATCATAGCCAAGATTGAAAGAACTTGCCGGAAACCACAAAACCAGAGGCAGAGCAGAAATGAGGACATTGGTCCTCTCTCCTCATAAGAGGGGACACCAAGCAGAGAGACCATGAGTCATCTGTGGGAACCTGTGGTTGTTCCCTGGGAGGCCAACGGGACATCCCACCCGTGCATCCCTGCCTCTCCAGGCCCCAGGGAGTTGGCAGCAAGAGACAGATAATGAGCCGCTGATTATTCAGGCCACAGCATTTTTTGCTGAGTCGGGAACAGACACTCCCCAACAAGAAATAAAATTAAACAGGCCCTTCTGTCCGGAAGCTTTAAATACACTGCCTAGTGTGAAGCATGCCGGGGAGGGGGGAGCAGGGCTGGCAGTAGCACCACTAAGCGGCAGGGGATTTATGGACCTGGGGCCAAGGGAAAAATACAGCAGCACCCCTCAGTGAAGCACAGAAGGAAGGTCCCCAAACCCTTCCTCTCTGGCTCAAGTTGGAAGTTTGTATTTATTTCTGAGAAAAAAAAAGCCACAGTCGATCTGTTGATGAAGATGCATGAGAAGCAACTGACTCAGGAAGGTTGACTCCTCCTCCGCCTGACACCCAGCTCCTCCCAGCTGCACCCTCCTCACTCTGACAGCAGCTCTGCCCTCAAATTGCCAGGCCAAGTGCTAGCCCTAGCAGCCTGCCCTAGCTCAGCACTTGCTGGCTGTCCTGATGGAATTTGGTGTTTTACTTCTCTCGCCTGTTGGGCTGCCAGTTACATGGAGGAATAAATAGAGATGATGCTAAGTAAATAGTTAGGTGATCGTATCTAGGAGTTGAAAGCAGATAAGGGATGACGTCGATGAAAAGAAACTTGACTCTTAATTAGAACCAGGTCCCACCCCCAGGAGGGTAAGCCCCTCACTTCCCACCCTGGAGGCCAGAGTAGAAGCAAAAGACACTCACTGCTTAGAACGGTCCCCATCCAGGTTCTGTGGTGATAGGTGGCTGGCCACCGGCTTAGGCTGCGGGGTCAAACCAACAGACTCTGACAGTGGGGGTCTGAGGTTCTGCTCCAGTGTCTGGGTTGGAACCTAAAGCAAAAGGGGGTAGAGGAGCCAGGATGACCTCCTAAAACTCTAAAACCCTTCCCTCCCGCAGGGGCAGGATGGCAGCTCCCCAAAGAATGGCCATGCCCTGGGAGAAGCTTGCTTTCTCCCAGTCACTTCCAAACATACAAGGATCTGACAGACGTAAGAAACCCAGGAGGAGAACTGGGACTAAAGGGACGCTGAGTTAAAGAGACACATTTATTCAAATATTCTACCAGCCCCAAGCCCCCCGGAGGCCCAGGCCTCCTGCCCCTAAGCCCTACCTCAGTAGGGTCTTCGTCCTTGTCCTCTGGGGTCTGCTCCTGGTCTGAAGAGCTTTCTTCTATGACCCTCTGTTCCTGGGCCTCTGTCCCTAGGCTCCCCTCTTGAAGATCTCCAGATCCCATGTGGAGTTCTGGGGTCCAGGGCTGGCTGCGGGGACGGGACACTAAAGGGGAGCTAGGAAGGCTAAGGGGGAAATAAGAGTTTGAAAGATATGATGTGGAGGCAGAAAGGGTGAGCAGGGAGGGGGACCTCTGCAGCACCAGGTGGCAGAGCCCAGAAACAATGCTTGAGTGACAGATGGGCTGTGGTTAAGGACAGAAGAAGGTTTCAGGGATTTTCTGCTTTAAGAAACAATAACACCCAAACTCTAAATTCACTTTCTCTCAATGAGTAGATTCCACTTGCTTATATGCTCATTTGACAAAACAAGACATTCTAGGAGATAATCAGTTGCTGGCCCTTGGTGGGAATCCCCAACCCTAGGTATGGAACATCTGAAAGACAGAGAAGGGGCCCAGTTCCCTGTCCCAGCTGAGCTGAAGGGTGGGACGTATATGGGCAGGAGAACTCACTGTTGCTGTTGAGGGCTCAACTTGGGGGACTGTGGGAGACCCTGCTGTGGGGCCTGGGCTCCTGCCTCATACGCTTGAAGCTTCTTCCTTAGGGAGGCCACCTGCAATGACAGCAGTCTTAAACTCAGCTGAGCCCAAGAGGTGAGGAATGGGCAGAGAGCCCTGCTGCACCCCAGCTCCTGTCTCTCACTTCTTGCCCCAAGTCTGTTCCCCAGGTAAGCTCCTCACCTCAGCCTGGAGCTGTTGGCAGATGGTGACATACTGGCTGATGTGACTGTCCAGACTGATCACGTTGCTCTTCAGCTGAGTCAGAGACACAGGGAAAAGATTGGTTTGTTCATACAAAGCAGTTGTTATCAACCACCTCTGGTGACCAGGCATCACACAGGAACCTCACTTACAGTACCAAGGGCCCCCTCTTACAGGTAGAAAAACAGACCAGAGAAGGTCAGTAATGTGCCTGGGACCACAGCAAAGGACAAAGGAGTGCCTGCCTATGAACCTGATGCTTGACTCTCTGGACAAGACATTCTTGCTAGATGGGGGCTGATCTGCAGCAGTTCCAGGTGAGCCAGGGCTCCCGAGGAGGCAGGGAGGGGAGGCCCATAAGGGAAGGCCCAGCAAGTATGGCGGAGGCCAAAGCACCTCTCCTTTTGTTAACATACATGGGTGTTTATGTCATTTTGCTAAAACTATGATCCTACTGCTTAAAACAAGTCAGAATCAGGCTACTGGCCCACTGGGCCCCCTGCTCCATGTCTCCCTCGGAGTAGACTGTCTGCCTTGGTCCAACTGGAATCTTCCCAAAGGCAGGGACAGTGTTGTTCCTATCATAGAGCCCAGGGAACTTCTTTCCTCTGCTTGGGGACATTGGACAGGGATCTGAGGAAGCTGTCTTGGTCCTGTCCCATCCTCCTACCAGGTTAGGAGATCCCTCCACACTCAGGTTGGCCATCCCTAACTGGTACACACCGTGAGTCTGATCTCTTTGGCCCGGTCAGCATATTTGAGGGTGTTGTAAGTGTCCTCGTAGGACAGGCTAGAGGGGCTGATGGCAGCAATCATCACTGTGCGGCAGTTGCCCCCAATGGAGTCCTTCAGCAGGCGGGTCAGTTTGCTGTCTCGGTAGGGCACATGAGACTTGCGGCCCTGAGGCAGTCAGTGGATTAGGGGAGACACAGCTGTATTAGAATAACCTGGTCAGGGTCTGGTGGCCTCCCGCCCAGGGCTGAAGACAAGGACCACTGGTTTAGGCCTCAGTTGCTGTCCTGGGTACTGGGCCTACACTGTTTTACCTTTGCATCCACCAGGGCATTGAGGACATTGATGAGGGCCAGCAGAGAACGGTTGATGTTGGCACCCTCCCGCAGGCGCTCCCCCTTGGCATGGGTGCTGGATGCTCGCTCTGAGCCAGCCAGGTCAATCAGGCTCATCTTGGCCACCTGTAGGGCCTGAGTCAGTCCTGGGACTCGGTCCTGCTGCTTCACAAAGATCTGGAGGGGAAGGGCAGGAGTGAGGGGGACGTGGGCACCAGGAGCCCAAGTATCATGCTCAGTCCATGACCCTGCTTACCTGGAAGATGGCATGGGAGCGGGAGGAAGTAGCATTGGCATCTGTGGGGTGCTGGGTACGGTTGTGGTTCCCCCTGGTCAGCATCTTCAGTAGCTGCTCAGCTGAGGTCGGCTGCAGAGGAGATGGCAGGGAGGGGGCTGTGGTCTCCCACCAGGGCTTTTCCCCTAACAGAAAGGGCTGCTCTTCAGAGCCAATGTCACCCCTCTCTTGCTACTGCCACTACCCCAACATGCAGGATATCCCCAAATTGCCTTATGAGGAAACCCTGGAGGACAAGTGGGGCTGCTGTTCCCACCTGTGCCCAATCCTATACCTGGTGGAAAGAAAGTCCTTGCACCATCACCCCCTTGTCAGGGTCCTCGCGGATGATTAGGGGTCCCTTGGGCTCCAGGAGGTCATGGATCTGTTCATTGTACACCTGAGGAGAAAGGACAAGAGGGAGAGGACTCTCTACTCAGTGCAGGCTGGAATGGGCACAGTTGCTGTATAGGGAAGCAAGAAACAGGTGTGTATTTGAGGCACCAGATACAAGGCACTTTGCAGGGTGAAGATGAATGAGGGATGGAGTCCCGGGTTGGGAGGTGGGAGAGAGGGAGCAGCCCTACCTCCAGATAACTGATGAGCACCTCGAATTGCTTCTCCTCCTGGAAGGCCTCAAAACGCTTGTACAGTTCCATGGTGGTCAGGTACATGATGCCAGGGTCCCCCTCCTTTCCCAGCATGGTGTGTGTCTTCCCAGCCCCAGTAGCCCCATAGGCAAACACTGCAGAGGACAGAGTGGGGAGAAGGGTGTCAGCAAGGCCAGGCCCGCCTCCCCCAGGGTTGCCACCAGCATATTCCACCCAGCTCAGCCCTGCCTTTCTCCCAAGCCCCTTTCCTTTTTCATCCATGTCCACCAGTCTGCCGTTCCACTGCTCCTACCTCTTGTACCCTACCCAGCACTCATGCTCAGCCTCTTGGTCCTCCACACATCTGTCCTGGCTCCCACAAGTCTGTGGACTCCAGGGAGCTGCACTGTGGGTGGGCGTTATCACCAGCTCCTCCAGTCTAGGGAGCTTCCTCCAATGAAGGCCCACCACTCACTGTTTCCCTCACTAGCATTCACTGTGGTTCATAAACACAAATGCAGCTGTGTTTTTGTGATCAGTGTCTTCTCCTCTTTAGACTGTCAGCATCAAGAGTCCAGGAGCTGCGTCTGTCTAACTGCCTACTGTATGCTAGGCTCTGGTGTATACATTTTTAGTGCCTCACACAGTACAGTGAATGAATGGGGCCCCTCCAGACAGGATGAAAAGGCCAGAGCTCCCCTCAACAGGTCATGCCAGCTGAGGGACAGGCAGACCTATGTCAGGAGACAGGGGAACCCCCCCCCCCCCCCTTAGAAGGAAGCAAGGCTGCTACCAAGCAGGATTCAGGTTCTTACCTGAGCAGTTGTAGCCCTGGAGGAAGCTGTCCAGGATTCTGCTTGTGGTGTGCTGAAACACGTCCTGTTGGGTGGCCTTCTCACCAAAGACCCGGTCAAAGACAAATGTCAGGCCCTTGCCCTTCTTCTTGGGGCCGTCATGGATACCACCCCATTTGAGGCTCCCATCAGGTTCCTCAGGGTCAAACACCAGCACCCGTTCATCCAGGACTTGAACCACAGGCCACCGCTGACTCTCCAACTCCCGAGGGGTGGGGGGTCGCACCCGCACCACCACCTGCACCATGCTGTCCTCCACAGCCATCACCATGGCAACACCTGAGCAGAGAGATGATGGAGATGAGGACCAAACCAACCCAGACCTAGCCAGGTGCCCTTCAACATCCAGGGGCCTCCTCCTTCTCCCTTCCCATATTGGCACCAGTGTCAATTATTTATACATATCTCTTTCTCACTTGAAATACACCTTTGCCATATTTAAAAATGACTCTGTTTCCGTTGGTGTATTAACTTTCTATTTTGTTCCACTGAGCTATTTATCTACTCCATGCCAACATCACACTCTTCCTACTATGTTACTTTACTGTGATTTTATTGAGTAAGGCATGAGCCCCTTGAAAGTCTTTTTCATAATTTTCTTCGCTATTCCCAGGTATTTAATGTCTTTAAGAAAATTTTACTGCTAGAAGTGATGGTGCACACTTATAATCCCAACTCAGGAGACTAAGGCAAGAGGATCACAAAGTTCAAGTCCAGCCTCAGCAACTTAGTAAGGACTGGTCTCAAACAAACAAACAAACAAAAACCCTAAACATAAAACCTTATCAGTTCTGCTCACAACCAGATCCCCTTCTCCCCTCAAAACAAAACATCTGCATTTACATATTTATTTTGTTATTCTTTAAATATAATTCCTAAGTGTTTTATACATTTATTTGCTTTAATGAATGGAAAACTCTCTCCCATTTCCAGCTGGTAATTGCTAAAATGGAGAAACAACTGATCTTATAGATATTCACCTTATATCTGCCACCCTCAAACTTTCTTAATTCCAATTTGCTTATTAGGATTTTTTTTTTTTATTCTCCAAGTATACAATTATGTGCCAGTAAATAAAAAAAAATGTTTGACCTTTTCTTCTCCATATTTATGCCTATTTTATTTCTTATATATTACAGTCTCTAGAACTTATAAAAAATGATTTTGAATAACTGATGATAACAGACATGCTGTTTTGCTTCTGATCTAATAGAAAATGGCCTTATTGCCTCATTCTCTAGAAATGAGTTTGGGATAAAGAGTCTTTATCATATTAATTATTTCTCTTATTCTTATTTTATATAGAGTCATTATTAGGAAAGTCTAGAATTTTATTCAATACCCTTTTGGCATCTACCAATACATTACATGTCTTTGCTCCTTGTGGTATATTATTGCTGATATCAATCCAACCGTATATTCTGGGAAAAAAATCCCTACCCTGGGCTAAAGTGATACTTTTAATATTTAAATAGTCAAATATGCCAGTCTTTTCTTTTGTGGCTTCTATGTCATATTTAAGAAGACATTCCTTCTCTAAGGTAATAAACACTTTTCATATAATCTAATGCTTTTTTCTTCTCTTACATTTAGATTTTTATGGAAATAGAATTTAGGGCTACTCTGCCACTGAACTTTTTGAGGCAGGGTCTTACTAAGTTGCCCAGGCTCACCTCAAACTTGTTATCTTCCTGCTGCGGCCTCCTAAGTAGATGGGATTGCAAGCATGTGTAGCTGCAAACTGGTGGTTCTGAAGTTCTATGAAAAATCTTGCTAAGATTTTAATTTGGATTATTTTGAATTTGTAGATTAATATGAGAAGAATCCTTTATGTTATAGAGTCTTCCCATCTAGGACCTGGTATCTATTCCTATTTATTTAAAATTTTATAATCTTTCAGAAAAATTTTATAATTTTCCTCACATGAGTAATATATATTTCTTGATAGGTTTATTACTGGTTATTACACAGTCTTTGTTATATTGTGAATAGGCTCCTTTTAAAATTACATTTTCAAATTCACTTTTTACCAGAATATGGCAAAGCTTCAGATCAGTATGCAGATCAGGTATCCGGTCACAATGCTGGACTCCCTTATTAGTTCTAATAGATTGCCATTGATTCTCTTAGGCCTTTCAATTAAATGATAATATAGTTTGCAAATAATGACAGTTATGTTCTATTTTTATGTTCTATTTTTCTTTATTTAGTTGTCCACCCTCTACTGCCCATTAGGGGTGCAGATATGAGTGTTGAATTTTATCAAATTCTTTTTGGGGCTTGCTGAAATGATCATTCAGTATTTTTCCTTTAATCTTCTTATGCCAGGGGTGACAACAGATTCCCCAGTGTTGACCTGGTAATTATGGCAAACACTTAAGTCCCCTTCCTTCTCATAGCTCCCCCAGGCCTTTCTCTCTCTTTTTTTTTTTTTTTTTTTTTGGGGGGGGGGGCACCAGGGATTGAACCAAAAGGTGTTTAACCCCTGAGTAACATTCCCAGCCCTTTTTATTTTTTATTTTGAGATAGGGTCTCATTAAGTTGCTTAGGGCCTTGATAAATTGCTGAGGCTGGCCTTGAACTTGTGATCCTCCTGCTAGCTTTCTGAGTTGTTAGGATTACAGGCAGTCACACCACACACACTGGTACCCCCTGGCTTTTCATTTCTCCTTTGAGGCAGTTTACCAAGAGTAGGGATGGAATTATGGAATGTAGAACTTAACAGATCTCCTGGAAAACTTTAGCCCAATTCTAGGGACATATTAACAGGAGTTAAGAAATGGGGAAGGAGACTGTTACTGGAGGATATGAACAAAAGAACTCTTTCCCAGTAAAGGCGAGGTATAGCTGATAGGTCACAATTACTGAGTGCACTCAGCAAAGAAAAGTGGGGTATTACCTTGGGGAATGAGCCAAATTGAGCTGATTTGGAATTCTTGTCCCCTTATTCCTAAACTTCTTCCCCATAGCAGACAAGGGAAAGATATCAAGGAACAATAATGTAGAATAATTTGATTTCTATTCCAGCAATCAGATTGTCATAATAAACATATTAGCTAAGTTATCACTGTATCAGGGACTATTCAAAGCACCTTACACATATCATCTCCTTTTATCTCCACTGCAATCCCACAAGATAGTATTATTATACTCATTTTTCAGTGAGGAAATTGAGACAGAGAGGGTTAAGCAATTTGCCCAAGGTCCCAATGCTAGTGAGTGATGGAGTCCTATTTTAACCCAGGCAGTCTGACCGCAGAGTGTCTGATAATATTATATATTATGCTTTGATGATCACATTTTTGTAATAGCCCCTTATGTTAGTATAATAATCATAATCCCCTTTATGGGACTAGCATTATGTTTTCAGTAAACACTTGTAGACATGTGGATTGAACCTAATTTTTAGCGCTTGAGTTTCTTGCCCTTGAATTCTTACTCCCAGGAAACTCCACTTTTTTACTGTGGGAAATAAAGTCAGAGGATGCCCGAGTCTACACTGGCTCATTCCTGGCAGTCCCAACATCCCACTGGGAGGGTTTTGGCTGAGGAGGAGACATAGAGCAGCCTAACATTCCAAGCAGGAAATTAAAAAGGGCACTGGCAAAGGAGTGTGCATAACCTTTACAGTTTCTCTCCTCCCAGCCTCCTGAGGGCCAGCGAGGCCGAGTCTGTTTGCCTAATGAGATGTTTTTCCTCTTCCTGAGACAGTGCTGGGGGCACAGGGTATGGGATGCGGGTGACACTTACCATGGGAGCCCCTAAGACACCTGGGTCCTAGTCTCTGTTCTGTATCTGACTTAGGGGGAGGTCTTTCCAAGAGCCACCCAGCATCAATGTCACATCAGCTTCCCCCTTTGAGAGCTAGGGAGAAAGCTACCGATCTGCTCCCACCCTAGGGGGATGGGGAGATTAATGAGAGAACGTTTGTCAAGTTTGCTTTGATCCTTGGTTGGAAAGAGCATTTCAGCCCAAAGTACAAGGGAGATGATTCTTTAATAAGATCTTCAGGGTTCTCAGCCAGCCACAGTCACGTCCTATTTCTAACCCTGGGCAGCTCATTAAAACCCAGAGGCTAGTGTGCTACTGAGCTAGGGCTGGGAAGCCAAGATTCAGTTGTTTTGGGGGTGGCCTTTTCTTCCACCCTCTTAGGGACAGACCCAACAAGCAAAAGTTCCTTAAAAGCTCCTAAAGGAGAATTATTGAAGACTTGAGGGGATCCCCCTGCAGACACTGGGAGTTAGGAAAGTCAGGGAAGGAGCCCAGCCCTTAGATATTCTACTGTTATAGGGGTTTCTGTACCCCCCTTCATTGTTCTTTCAGAACCCTTTATACCCTTTATACTTGTATATCCTTAAGCTCCAAGAGAACATGCAGCAGATGCAGAATAATGTTTGTTCTATCAATGAATAAGAGCCAGAGAAGAGCAGTCTGAATCCGAAAGCCTAAAAATAATTATCATTTACTGAGTGGTTTACAGACTGTATCAGATACTACACTAAGTACTCTATGCTAGGTGCTTTACAAATGCTCTCATTTAACTTTCACAACAATATCATTATGTGAGTATGATACAATTGTTAGATTCTTTTTTTTTTTTTTGTAGTTGTAGATGGACAAATACCTTTATTTTATTTATTTTTATGTGGTGCTGAGGACCGAACCCAATGCCTCAAGCATGCTAGGCAAGTGCTCTGCCGCTGAGCTACAGCCCCAGCCCATGTTACATTCTTATTCTACCAAGGAAACTGGAGGTACTGGAAGGAACTTATCACATCTAGCAGGTAGGGTAGTAAGCAAGGCCAGAACCTGACCTCTTTCTGTCACCAGAGGCACTACTCCATCCTTAGGCGGTTCTGCCCTGCCATGGGGCTTTGGCAGCTCCCACCTCTCCTCACCTTGGTACCCAGAGGACAGTGTCCCAGGACCACTGGTTCTTCCTGTGCATGGTGGATATAAGAAGGAGCCGTGTTTTGCTTATTATTTTTATTTTATTTTTTGGTACCTGGGATTGAACCCAGGAGATCTCAACCACTGAGCCACATCTCCAGCCCTTTTTATTTTTTTATTTCGAGACAGGGTCTCCTTGCTAAATTGCTTAAGGCTCACTTAGTTGCTGAGGCTAGTTTGAACCCAGCGCTTTGTTTTTTTAATAGACTATCCTAAGGCTGTAACTGACAATAGCTTTGTTTATTCCTTTCTAATCCTATTTATTTATTTATTTTATGGTGCCAGGGTTTGAACCCAGGGGTACTCAACCACTAAGCCACATTCCCAGTCCTTTTTCTTTTTTTATTTTGAGACAGGGTCTCTCTAAATTGCTGAGGCTGGCTTTGAACTTGTGATCCTCCTGCCTTAGTCTCAGGAGCCACTGGGATATAGGTGAGCACCATCGAGCCAGCTCTAATCTTATTTTTTATTTTTATTTTTATTTTTTTTTGTCTATGGTTCTGACTAGGAACTCCAGTACAATATTGAATAAAAGCAATAAGAATGAGCATTCTTTTTTCTTTCCTGATTTTATATGGAATGTTCCTAGTATTTTATACTTTGTTGGTTTAAGGAAATTTATCTCCATTTCTAGTTTACTGATGAATTGGTATAAAGTTTTATTGAATATTTTTTCTGTGCTAATTGCAATATGTTTCCTCCTTTAATCTGTAAATTGTATTAATAGAGTTTCTTTCTTTTTCTTTTTCCTTTTTTTTTTTTTTTTAATATTTATTTTATTTAGTTTTCGGCAGACACAACATCTTTGTTTGTATGTGGTGCTGAGGATCGAACCTGGGCCGGCGCATGCCAGGCGAGCACGCTACCGCTTGAGCCACATCCCCAGCCCCTTTTTCCTTTTTTGGTACTGGGAATATCAAGCCCAGGACCTTGAGCATGCTAGGAATACAAGCTACCACTAAGCTATATCACTATACCTGTGTTAATAGATTTTCTAATGTTAAACCATTCTTGCACTTCTGAATAAGTTCAACATGGTCATATTATTTTTAATACATTGCTGGCTTCTGATTGCTAATATTTTAAGGGTTTGGTTTTTTTTTTTTTTGTACTGGGGATTTAACCCAGGGACATTTTTACCACTGAATTACATCCCCCAGTCATTTCTATTTTTTATTTTGAGACAGGGTCTCACTAATTTGCTGAGGGTCTCCCTAAACCACCGAAGCTGGCCTTGAACGTGTAATCCCTTCTATTGCAGGGATTATAGGAGTGTGCCACCGTGCCCAGCTTGTTTAAGACTTTCTACAACTATATTTATAAAAGAGATTAATTTGTAATTTTCTTTTTCTCATCTGTAGAATCATAAAAAATTCTGAAAATGTTTTAGGGATAGTTTATATAAAAATAGAATCATTTTTCCTAATGGCCTGATGGAATTTGGTGGTTTTTTTTTTTTATGTGTATGAAGGTATATTTAAAATGAATTCAGTTTTCTCAGTAGTGTTAGGTCTATTAAAAATTTCCATAACTTCTTGAGCCAGTTTTGGTAAGTTTTTTCCTAGAAATTTTTCAAAAGCATTTTTAAAAAGGGTGTTCCATTGAAGACTTTCTTTTAATCTTTGTAACTTAACTAAAGTTATGTTCCCTTTTTTTGTGTAGAAGATTATTTTTTATTTCCTTTGTTTTTCCATCAATGTTGTGAAGGTTTTTTTTTTATTAGTCTTCTCAGAGATACAACTTTTGGCTAAGTTAATCCTTTTATATTGTAAAATTCTATTTCATTATTTTCTGCTCTTTATCTTCTTTTGTGTCTATGTATTGGGAATTGAATCCAGGGGGTGATCTACCACTGAGTACATCCCAAGACTTTTTTTTTTTTTTTTTAATGTATTTTTTAGTTGTAGATGGACATAATACCTTTATTTATTTATTTATTTATTTATTATGTGGTGCTGAGGCTCAAACCCAGTGTCTCACATGTGCTAGGCAAGTGCTCTACCACTGAGCTAAATCATAGTCCCTCCCCTCTTTTTTTTTACTATTTAATTTTTAGGTGTAATTAGATACAATGCCTTTATTTTATTTACTTATTTTTATGTGGTGCTGAGCATCAAACCCAAGGCCTCACCCATGCTAGGCAAGCGCTCTACAGCTGAGTCACAATCCCAGCCCCCCCTCCCCAATTTTTGACCCAGGGTCTAAGTTGCTTAGGGCCTTGCTAAATTACTGAAGCTGGCCTTGAATTTGAGATCCTTCTGTCTCAGCCTCCCAAGTTGCTGGGATTACAGATGGGCACCACTTACTGCACCTGGCTTTGGTCCTTTTTATTTTTAAGACAGGGTCTCATTACATTTTCCAGGCTGGCCTCAAACTTCAGATCCTTCTACCTCAGCCTCTCCAGTCACTGGGATTACTGGGGCACAACACTGTGCCTGGCTGTCTTCTTCCTTTTATGTTTTACATATGTATTCTGTTGTTTGGTTCTATCTGTGTCTGTTTATCTTTAGTTTTTTTTAAATGTTCCAAATGTAAATATTTATGACTATATTATCTTCTAAGTATTGCTTTAATGCATCCCACAAGCTTTATAAATAGTATTTTTCATTGTTCCACGCAAAGTATCTTTTAATTATATCATCATGTCCTATTTGACTAGTTAAATGTATTTTTCAAATTTCCAAATGAGGATTTGCTTTAATTTTCTTTTTCATTGGTATTTATAATTGAATTGCTTGTGGAAAGAGAATATGATTTATACAAAAACTCTAATAATTGCTTAAATTTGCTTTGTGGCCAGGTAGAGAAAAGTCTAAAAGTATGCTACTTGTTCACTTTTTAAAAAAGATACAACTGGGGCTGGATAACATAAAAACCAATAAATTGAGACACTTTAAAATCTCTGAGCCATGGGGAAATTAAATACTGAAACAGGCCAAGAAGAACTGAATACATGTAGTTGTTCATCATGGGGTGCAGTTGTTCATCATGGGAAAATAAATAGAATAGGAAGACTGAAGAAATCAGTTTAACTTGAGGGGAAGCTCATTCTGAAAAATGTTGTAGGTGTTCTCCTCTGAGCTAGGCTCAACTGCTCTGTGCCTCAGTTTCCAAACCTGTTAATGTAAATAACATTAATATCTCTCCCATAAGTTTGCTGTAAGGATTAAGTTCATTCAAACCTGGCAAGTGCTCAAGAAGTACAGCCATTATTACTAAAATTCTACAGTATATCATTTCTCCATGATGCAGAAAAGAACCAATGTCTTCAATAAAATGCCCTAAGTTCTGTGGCTTTTCTTTTTCATATCACTTCAGTTCGCTAAAAGTTCAAAGCTAAGAGGAGAAACATCCTAAGAACAGTAACAGGCTTGTTTTTCTGTCTACAGATGTTCTTTCATTCCTTCCTTCATTCAATCTAATATTTATTGAGTGCCCCAGTAACTACGTTACAGTCCATGGCACATACAACTCAGCGATCAGTTCTGTAGAGATAGCAGAACAATGGTTTAGGGGGTCCCAGGTCTCCCATTCTAGTGTGCAGGAGGGCCCAATCCTTCCTCACACAGGAGCGAGAGGACCTTTCACAGAGCCGGCATACAGAGAGCCAGGTGCAGACGTGCGGACCCAGTCTAAGTCCTGGACAGAAGAGCAAGAGGGATAGTGATTTCCGGTATGCAAGTTGTAAGGAAGCGCCCAGCTCCCCACCTGGTTCAGAGGGGTCCACCCAGGACTTGCTGACGCGACGGCAGAGTTCGCTGATCGCGCTATACTTTCACGTTCTGCATCAGCGGGCTGGCTCAGGCTCCGGTCCCGGAGCAACTGGGTCCACGTGTCGGAGACCCAGCGCAAGATCCCACAGGGCCTACTCCACCGTGGACAAAGCTTACCTTTGACGGACTCCCCGCCGCTGGTGTTGCCGCTAGCGTGGAAATCCCTCCGCTACAAACGAAGCGCTCAGACTCACGAGCTCGCTCAGCACACTCTTCCCTACCGGGTCCAACCTTCACCCCGCGCCGCGCGTTCAAATTAGCCGGTCGACTCCTCCGCGCTTCCCCATTGGTCAACTCTCAGACCGTTGATTGGCTGTTTCCTAAGTAACAAAGACAATCCGAGATGCGCATGCGCACTTCCTTCCTGCTGGCTGGTGATTTGCAGACAGTCTCCCAGACTGGACCAACCGGAGTGGCAGACAGAAACCAGCACCTGGTTGGGATACGCAGAGGGGGACGTGCTCAGTCTCTTGTTTTCCTGGGGCTTGATTCATTACCAATTACAGCAACTAGACATTACACAGGTTTTAAAAAAACCACTTTTTCTGTGGCCAAAGTTGGCATCTTCTTATCCAAGTCGTTCTCCATCGTCCTTTTCCGTTCCAGGACCCTCCCAAAGTGAACTTCTAGGATAGCGTTGAGCCGGGCGTGGTGGCGCGTGCCTGCAATCCCAGCGACCTGGGAGGCTGAGATAGATCTCAAATTCAAAGCCAGCCTCAACAATTTAGCAAGACTCTTCCTAAAAATAAAACTAAAAAAGGGCTGGGGATGCGGCTCGGTGGTTTAGCGCCCCTGGATTCAATCCCTGGTTTAAAAAGAGAGCGGGGGGTGGGGGGGTGGGGGGTGAATATTCTGTCCTTCCTATTCATGAAGGAGAGTACGGCTCTGAAACCCTCCAAAGCCCCAGAATATGTTAAGGGGATAGCTTTCTATGACTGATTAGCACCAAACTGGTGAAGGCTGAGAGGAGTTAGTTGCTCTTACTTTCAGCAAACCTGGTCTGTCCCCACACTGGGATTGTGAGCAGGTCATCAGGCTAGTAGAAGTGTTATTTAATTCTTGGTTGACTTGGCCCAAACTCTTTATTCACTTTCCTGGATCTCAATTGCCATCTATATAATGGAATAGCTCTGCTAGTTTGGTGAAGACAAAACAAGAAAAGTGTACAAAGATGTTGTCTTTATAAAGAAATAAAAAATCAGGGTACTCTTAACATTTTTACTACCAAGGGAAATAAAACTGTTAAAGAATAGTTTTTCCATTTAAGGGTCCCCTCTCACAGAAATTTATTTGTATTTTAAAAGAGGTTTGGGGTGAAGTGGAGAGCTTAGGGCCCCAGGAGACCGACCCTAAGGGAACAGGTGCTGCTTGTGTCCTTTAAGTTGAATCTTGCCGGTGTCCTACTCTGGTTCAGAAAATTAAATGGAGGTGAAATGAGACAAGAGGAAGAGTCAGACCCTGCTGTGGGCGGTGAGAAGGGACTTGCTGAATAATCATGGGCGGATCAGCCTCTCAAACCCTCAGATTCTGAAGTATAAAATAGGGAGTAAAATCTACTTTGTTACAAAGATTAGATATAATCTAGACAAAGTATCTTGCAGATATTTAATGAAATGGTAATAGGTGTACCAGTTTGAGTGCTCTGCCCAGCAGTCTTTCTTTCTTTGTTTTGGTATCAGGGATTGAACCTAGGGGATGGGGATCTTAACCACTGAGCTACTCCCTAGCCCTTTTTTTATTTTTTTAAATTTTGAGACAGGGTCTTGCTAAGTTGCTGAGTCTGACTTTGAACTTGTGATCCTCCTGCCTGTGCCTCCAGAGTTGCTGGGATTACAGGTAGGTGCCACCACATCCAGCTAGACCAAGCAGGCTCTGGAAGAGGATCAGTACACAGGAAGGTATATGGAGGAGTGCTGTTGAAATTAACAACGTGGGGGCTGGGGATGTGGCTCAAGTGGTAGTGTGCTCGCCTGGCACGCGTGCGGCCTGGGTTCGATCCTCAGCACCACATACAAAACAAAGATGTTGTATCTGCCGATAACTAAAAAAAAATAAATATTAAAATTCTTTCTCTCTCTCTCTCTCTCTCTCTCTCTCCCCCCCTCTCTCTCTCTCTCCCTCTCCTCTCTCACTCTCTCTAAAAAAAAAAAATAACAACGTGGAAGAGAAGGGAAGGACGTGGATGGGACAAAAGGAGAAGGTTGAGCTGAGAGCTCTGAATCTGGGAGGACACTCAGAGTTGTCTGGAGTAGGAGACCATGCAGGGGACCAGGCCTTTAAACTTCCATGCCAGTCTGTCATGGGGGACAGGCTACTCTGAGAAGAGGGCAGACGTTGAGCAAGGCAGTTGAGGCGATCCCCAAAGGTAGCTGTGAGCCATCTGCTAGCAGCATTCCCAGCAGCTGGTAGAATAGATCCTTCAGTCCCAAAGGAGACCTGGGCAGTGTATACAGTGCCCATCACAGGAGGAAAAGGTGGAAGTTTAAGGAGGCTGAGAAATAGCTGCTATTATGGTAGTGTGGTTATTATGCAACTGGCACAGTGCTATGTACTGAGACATTGTCCTCTTTGGAAGATGCTTTCAGTCCAGCCTTGTAGGCAGGCAGCTAACTGCTGAAGGAGTCCAGGAAGGCTTCATGGAAGAACAGGCAGTGGACCTGGACTTTGAATGACAAGCAAGTGTTCTACAGGCAGTTGTAGTCAAGGTTTTTGCAGACCCATTCCTCCCTGTGGTCGGGGGCAGGAGGAAAGTCTGTAACTCTTGGCCTGAGCAATTTTCTTAGTCCAGGCTAGGGCTCCTCACTAAGGGAGCAAAGGAGCCCAAGCCTTGGGGTGTTGTGGAGGAACACTGCAACTTACCTGTCACCAGCTGAGAAGAGGCAGGAGCCCCACCCCCTGCATAGACTTCCCTGGTAGCAAGCATTGAGGGAAAGGGTGCCAGATGTCTTAGGGGAGGAAAGGCTCCTCCTGCTGGGAGAGAGGAAGAATCGACTCTCCCCTCGAGGGAAGCATAGGGACAGTTAAGAGAATTGTTCTCAGAAAAGGTAAGCCATGTGATCTTGGGCAAGCTAATTCATCTCCCAGTGCCTCAGTTTTCTCACCCCAAAACTGGACTTGATGATATTAACTTCCTTGTGAGATTATTGTGCAGTTTAAATGAATGAATACATGCAAAATACTTTTTATTTTTTTTTTTTGGTACTGGGGATTGAATTTATGTGTACTTAACACTGAACTACACGCCCAGCCCTTTTTATTTTTTATTTTGAGAAAATAAATTATCCAAGCTGGCAATTTAGGATCAGATTTGCAATCTTTCTCCTGCCTCAGCCTCAAAGTAGCTGGACTACAGTTGTGCACCACTGTACCCCACTACATTTATGAATGAATATATGCAAAATAAATAGAGCAGCTCATGATACATATACTAGTGATACATTACTGATACAGAGATGAATGTATATGTTGATCCTCCAGCTCCAATTTTCTTCCAGCCCTTGGATAAGAGAAGATAAACCCCTCAGCACTCTGTTCTCCCAAAGGTTAGTGTCAGCAACAACTCCAAGCAGTGGGTAGATTTTGGAGGAATACATACTTGTCATAAAACCTTTCCAAATATTATACAAGTAAAAAATGTAAACCTCACTTAATCCAGCTCCCTCAGAGGTAATTCTGTTCCCAGTAGGTGAAACATTGCCTGCCCTTGAATGCTACTATATTTTGGATGTATCTTTACAATCCCTGCGGGTATCTTGATTCTTTGGTGGCTTCTCATCCATCTCTGGATCCTTGACACCAAGCTAGGGCCTTGCCTATAGGAAGTATTCAGTAATGTTTGGTGAAACAAGCAGAGCAAGTTGAGACAGAACAGACGGGTGAGTCAGGGCCTCAGCTGTATTCCTCTGCTCTCACCCCAAATCAGAGCCCATGATGCAAAGAGGTGAGAGAATTGACACTAGAGATTGGAGGACCCAGGGCACTCCATTCCCAATACTTAGCTCTACCTCCTGGGTACCCCATATGAAGCCCTCTCCTAGAACCCCACACCCACACTCACTTTGGGTAGGAGAACAACCCAGGAATCTTTATCTTCTTCCATTATCATCATCTCCATCCCAGGCATTGAAGTACAAACCAAGAACTTTAAATCATGGGGCTCAGGAGACTTGGGTTAAAATAATAATAATGCATCTGAATTTTGCTTCACAACTTATAAAACAGGCTCTCATCCACTCCCTCATGACAACCCTCAAATAGGTATTTTGATTTTATATTTTCTCCCCCATTTTGTAGATGGAGAAACTGAGGCTCAGAGAAATGAAGTATCTTTTCCTGAAACAGGACTTGACTTGGAGGTCCTGATGGTAAGGACTTGAACCCAATTCTGTCTCCTCTTCCTGCAGGTAGACTGGATCCTGCTATCTCTAGTTCCAGCTCTGCCTTGAGCCAACCTGAGCAACCTTGAGTTCTTCTCTGGGCCTTAGTTTTGCCAGCTGTGTAATAAGAGTTGCCCATCCTATAACTTTGATTCTCAATTTTGGCAGATGAGGCAAATGGGGCTCAGTATATGAAAAGCATGGGAGGTGGGTAGCTCTTTGGTCTCTTTCCTCCAGTCCCAGCTGCCAGCACTCAGGGACCCTTCCACTCCCTTTCGGTTCCAAACATGTATAGATTTTTCACTTCCACTTTATTATCACTTCATTTGTAGGATTGTAAGGTTTGTTACCTGGAAGGGAGTGAGGAACTCACACCTCCAATTCCGCTTTTCAAATATACCTTCACCACTTGTGAAAATAACCTTATTAACAACATCTAACCTGTTACAGCTTTATGGGGAGGGGGGCACCCAGATAAATAAGTGCAGAAGGAATGGGGGCAGGGAAAACAACACATCTAGGTGGGTAACAAAGCCACTGGACCGGTGGGGCTTTCTCCCAGTCCTCAGGAGTCCTGGAGCTATTGCCAGGGTCAGCAGAACTCTGGTGAGGCCCACAATAGCCTTGAACAATTGGCTGCCTTCTCCGGGTTTTTGCCTCTTGCCTCCTCCTCTGGGGCTCAGAACTCCTCCTGGAAACAGCTCTTGTGCCTGCCTAGATCCCCTGTCTCCTGGACGCTTGTCCAGGATTGATTCTCTGGGCAGCTCCCCTCCGAGCAGTAAATGAAATATCGGTTACCAGGAGTGAGGCGGGAGCCAATTAACCCCCAGACCTTGCCATGGCAGATGTGTTGGTAGGAAGCTGAAGCAGAGTGCCGAGCACACCTGCCTGGCCTTCCTGCAAAGTCATCCAATTAGGGCAGCCCCCAGCGGTGGGCCCCACTGCCCCGTCTGGTCCCCATAACCCCAGAAACCAGGGTAGCACTAGCCCCTAGGGCTGGTAGCAGGCTGGGCACAGGCTGGCCTGCCATTCCTTGTGTGGGTGAGCTCCAGGGACACCTCTGTCCTCACACCCCTCCTGGAAGGGATATTATTCATCAATTAGTCAGCCATCTTTCTAAATGGAAAGCAGCCTGGGGAATCTTCTTATTTCCTTCCTCCATTGTGAATCTGCCATTCTGACTACTCACTCAGCTCTGTCCCCTGGAATATTCCAGTGCCAGAAAAGCCCCTGACTGAGACTGGGGTGGAGACATAGCTTCTGCTCTCACAGAATCTCCAGTTGGATAAAGAGACAGTCTTTCCTTCAGAGAACCTGAGGGCTTCAAGGTGGAGATTGTCTCCTTATCTCAGAAAGGGCCTCATTTAACAGAGGAGCCATTAGTGGACTCCTCTGCACTGCCCACCACAGGGGAGACACACATCCCACCCTCGAGGAGCTGACGACATGAGGAGAAAACAGTCTTTGTCTTTGAGGCCTCCTACTCTGATGGAGGAGATGCAAGTCTTGCCTTCAGAAAGCTTCCCAGTCTGATGGTGGAGACAGTCCCTGCCCTCAGGTATATCAAGTCTGAGGGAAAAAACACTTTGCCCTTAGGGAGTTGCAATTTGATGGGGGAGACAGTCCCCCAGAAGGCTCTTCTGCAGCAGGAATGTTGCCCAAGTGACAAGCAGCTGGCAGCTGGCACTGCAGGACCCTCCTAGAGCCCTGTAGAAAGGTATAAAGTCCTTGGCTTCAGTCCAGTCTCAGCTGCGCCACAAACTTTCTGCCTGAACATGGGCAAGTCACAAATTTTCTTCAGACTATGATTTCCTCATCTGCAAAGTGCAGATTTTAGTCTTACCTCTCAAAATGACAAGATTGTCAAGTCACCAGAAAGAAAAGCAAGTCAGCCAGCCAGCTAGGCAGGCACTCACTACAGAAATGATTAACATGCTTTTTATTGTATAACAGAGGTCTTGGATCAGTCCCTGTGGCCTCTGTGGCTGGGGTGGGGAGCCCCCAGGTGTGGTGGCTGGCTCCCAGGTGTGACAGCTGCGTAATTCCAGGCCAATGAGGCTATAAAGAATCACAGGGAGCTGTGGGCAGCACTGGGGGTAGGAGGAGAGTCTTCTAATCTAATCACTCTTCCCACAGAGACTCTAGTTTCAGCCAGACCTGCCAGGGGTTTTATTGGGTTTGAGGGGACCCGCAGATTTCAATCTCCAGACTCCACAGGGAAGGGACAAGCATTAAGCTAATTTTATTAAATGGCCACAGCTGGCAGTAGGGGGAAGTAGAGGAGAGAAGAGAGGATAAAGTAAGTCATTCAAGTCTGCCAGCCATGACAAGGGTCCAATACATGGGGCCTAGCCAGGAGGAAGGCCACCCCTCCTTCCTGTTTCTCCAGCTGAGCCAGACTGGGAAGCCAGATGGGACCTTTCCTCAATGTAGAGCCTTGGGATTCTCTAAGAGGCACATCCCCTGGCTGCTTCCCAGGGCAGATGCTTAGAAATGCATCAGGTTTCTGCAAGGCTGGGGTGGGAATGGAAGGGCAGGGCTGGGGTTATGCAATGCTAGCTTCAGTTTTGCTTTGGAGATACCAACTCTTCATGAAATCTGGTATCCTGGGTAAGACAGTGTGTGGTTCAAATATTGGCATTTGCCTTCTCCTAGCTCTGTGATCTTGGCAAGTTACATAACCTCTCTGAACCTCAGTTTCCTCATCTAAAATGGATAAAACAGACAGATGCAGTATGGTATGCTATGTGGGAGGATCAATTAAGCCCAGGAATTTGAGACCAATTTGGGTCAAAGAGCAATAAATGCACATAGAAATATATGCCTCAAAATAAATGCATATAGAGGGCTGGGATTGTGGCTCAGCGGTAGAACACTCATCTAGCACTTGCGAGGCCCTGGGTTCGATCCTCAGCACCACGTAAAAATAAGTGAATGGGATGAGGTATTGTGTCCAACTACTTCTAAAAAAATATATTTTTGTTTTTTTTTTAAAAAAGAATTAAAAAAATAAATGCATATAGAAATTCTTAAAATGAATAAAATAGCATTGTGGTAAAGAGCATAAGAGCATTTCCCATAAATCTGCTACCCCCCACTACATATCTATGAAAAAACATAAAGTGCTTATATAGAGTCTGACATATAGTGGTTGCTCTGCAAATATTAACCTATATTATTTAGGAATGCCCTAATTGTGTGACTGTCATGATCCCCTAGTTACAAGAGGTGAGGGAGGCAGTGGTAGGCTGAGACTTAGTCTTGGATTCAAGTGCAATCACAGAACTTAGCAACTATATCACATTAAGCAAGCTCTATAACTTCCCTGGAAGGAAATCTACCCATCCAACCTCCTGGCCATTTGGGAAACTGAGTGAAATGACATACATAAAAGCATTTTGCAAATGTTAAAGTGATGTATAAATAATAAGAGCTGTTTATTAAGCACATAAGTTATACCTCTTCAATCCTCAATTAAGTGGAATAGGTCTTCTTACCTACATATTACTGATGAGAAAACTGAGGCCCAGAAGTGACTTGCTTGGACCAAGGTCAACCAGTCTTTAGTGCAAAGCTTATTCCTTAACCATGGCTGTCACTAACCCAGAATTGAGTCTGAGGGGAGTGACTTGACCAGGATAATACACAGTGTTACAGGAAAGAGAACCTAGGTCTCCCAGTTTAAAGACTGCCTGTGTCTTGGGAATGCTGGTGCCACTATCAACAAGGCAAAATGGAACTTATCCACCAGGGAAGAAGATGATGTATGGGCTGCTTCCCATTTCAGCCATCCAGGCCCACATGGGCTGCGGTGGGCATCAGGCCCTTTGACACCTCTCCTCCTCCAGCAGCTCTGACTGGCTTCTGGTTGTCCATCCTCCCCAAAGCTTCCACCAGACCAAGGTCCATAGTGCTTTCCTGCAGCCCTCCCCAGGGCATAGACTGAAACCCTCATGGGGTGGAAATGTTTTTATTATAGCTTTGGTCAGACTGGGTGCAGACAGGCTAGGGCTTTAGGGGTGCTGGGAAACCATCCAGCCCCAAACCTGCCCCTCCCCCAGGCAGAGCCAACCCAGAGCTGGAGGGAAGCTCATTCCAGCACAGGAAACAACTCTGCCAATTTCCTCCCAGGCTGAGACTGGCTGGAAGGCCAGGGTGGGCAGTAAACAGTCCTACTGTGCAAATATACATTGCAGGCTGAGGCCCTCCAGTCAATCTGCCTCCTGTGGACAGAACTGAGTGCTCTGCTGTGGGAAGGCCTAGCTATGGCCTGGGTGTGGTGAGAGTGGGCTGGGGGAATCACAGCCGGGGAGGGTTGGCAGCCTGGGCCAGGCAGCTAAGGGGTCGGTAGGGAATGGGTTTTGTCTGCCGCTCCTGGGAGGAAAGCCCAAGGGTTGAACAGAAGATGGAGAGGGATGCTGGGAGCTCAATCAGAGTAGATGATGAAGCCGGAGAAAGTGCTGTATTTGTTGCTGTTGCCTCCATGCGCTTTGCCTCCATCCAGCTTGATGAAGACCTCGTCACCCGCGTCCAGGTGCAGGATCACGCTGTTACTGGCGTAGTCATAGTTCTGGTCTGCATCCTGGGCAATGGCGCTGGCCCTCACCTGTGGGGATGGGGGTGGGGTGGCAGGAGAGGGTAGGGAGGTGAGGCAGCCACAAGGCAAGGATCTGGAGGCCCTAAAACTGGGCCTTATAGTTTGGCCTGCTTCTCCCTGTCACCCCACCCACGCCCTTCTAATCATACATAACAATTTTGAGAGATGGAAATAGAGGAGCCCTGGATTCTACATTAGGTCTTATCTGGACCTCAACTTGGTGCCTTCCTCCTTAACTTATCTAGATCTTACCATCTGGGCTGCCTAGAACCTCAGTACTTCTAGGATGTTCCAACCTGGAAATCCTTCCTTGCAGAGAAAGCAGTTCTGGACCCATAAGGAACAGGGGGACTTCCCTTTCTCCTATTATTTCTTTCACTCTGGTTTAATAATGATGGTACCTCACATTTCAATCACACCCACTTCTCTTATATCAATGGATGGACAAAAGGATGCATCTTGGCCCTATAAGTCATGTGGCTGGACCAATACAGGTTGCTAATAAATAACCATTCCAGAACCAGAACCAGAACCAGGTCTTTGGACTCCTTATCTGAAGCTCATTCCAGAATCTTCCACACTGGAGCAGTAAAATAAGGTGCTGGCAATTCTTTCCCCTCTGAAGGCTTTGACTGGGCCTAGGCCCCAGTCTTCAAGGAGGTGCACTGTATCTATTTGACTATAACCCTGGCCAAAGAGAACTTCCAGCTCCTCCTGTCTTACCCTAGAGAGGAAGTGGAAAGAAGGAAGCCAGGGCCTTACATCCCTCTGCAATCCTCAGTTTGATCTGATATCCTTGCTGGTCCTTATTATGCAGGGGGATGGGGAGGGACAGATAGGACAATGGGTCAGGAGAGTACCTGCATCTGGGCTTGAAGTCTGCTGCCATTTTTGGCAGTTCTGACTATAAGCATAAGATATTGGGGGCATATGGTGGCAGCTGAATAACCTCCAGACATTCTTCTCCAACAGTTGCGGCAATAGGAGTGTTAGGATCTGGGCCTTCCCAGGATACCCTGGGTATAGAACAGGAAGAGAAGAGCCATCTCCTGGATTGTGACTGTGGTAGGGGAGGCTGCATTAAGTGGGCCGTTCTCTATCCTGCCCCTTCCAGAGGCAGCTCCCCCTCCTGCCCACCTGGACAGATGGCTTGGTGGAAACAATCCAAATTAGGGGAGAGTCTTTTCCTCTTTCCTGGGCTGGAGGCAGAACTGTAGGTCAGCCATAAGAGCTGCTGACTCAGCAGTAATGGATGAAGAGGGCCCCACATACTATCAAGCAACCCTCCACTTAAAGCCCAGATCCCTCCAGCTTCTTCTCTGCCCTCAACCCCTTATCCAATCTGGAAAGGAACTGTTTGGAGCACTTAGCTGGGAAAATTCCTGGGCTGGCTAAAGGTGGGAGAAAATTAAATGAAGGGGGATGCTGTCTGTCCAGGAGCTCAGTTTCTCTGTTTGGAAAAATGGATGAGAAGATCCCATCTCACCACATCCACTTTTAAAAAAGCCTTTTGATGCTGAAGAAAGAAAAAATGAAATCTTGATGGGGTTTTGAGCTACTAGGGAAGAGCTGAAAGCAAGCAGCCAACTTCTGTATTGTTCCCTGGGCCCTAATCCTGGTAGTATTTATTATTACACATGCATTTCATTATCTTTGCTAATAAATTACTACTAATAACAATTATTTTTATTACCCAGATTAATTTAGCCTTAACTCATTAAAACAGTGTGCTCCTTAATAGCAAAATCCATTAGAATACAGTCATCTGTCATCAGGAATCTCCTGGTGATGTGACAGGCATCAGAACTGTTTTGCTTATGTTTATTATTTATTCATCACCATGATTGTTGCTGTAATTATCCTAATTATCCATGGAGGCAGTGAGAATTTATGCCCTTCCATCCTTAGATGGTGGGGGATCCTGGACTGGAACCCAGGGGTCCTGGTTCTCTGCCCAAGACTGAAAACAGCTAAAGCATCCAGCTCCTCCTCAGGGCCAAGGGGAACTGGGGAAGTGAAATTGCCATGGAAGCAGGAAAGCAAGTCTGTGCCTTGTCACCAGGGGACACTGTAGAATGACTACCTTGGAGACTACCTGGAGAGGAAACTGAGGCAGTGATCTGACCAGGGACCCAGGGTAGGGAGGAGGGTAATCCAGGAAATGTGTCCCTGTCTTGGATGTGCAGGTGTGGCTCCCACAAGCAGCCACCCTGGCCATAAGGGGCACCTTTCACATTGTGTTCCTTCTGTGCTAGGCACTGTGCCCTGTGCTGTGAAATATAGTAGAACCAGAGAGGATAGTTGGGAGCCCTTTCCTGCCACCTGATAAGAGGCTGATCTCCAGTTTGGTCTTTATCCTGCAGCCTTTAGTGTATATATGCCACTTCTTTTCACCTCAGAAGACTCTGCTAGCCAAGCCCTGGCCCATTTGTAATACTCACCTGCTCATGGCCCTCTTCCCTGGATGAGTATCACCCTGACCACAGGCCTGGCATGTTCCATACAGACCCCCGATTTTAGCCCAGTTTATCAATTTTGTGTCCTCCCTGCCTGTCTGACCTGTGGAGCTGGGAGGCAGCTGTAGGCAGCTCCATTCACGCAGGGCACTGCTCCTGACCTAGAGTCCTTTCCTCAGGTTTCTTAAGTTGTAATGACTATCGGGTCAAGCAGAGGCCAGTGGACCAGGAAAGGGCACAAAGGTGGCAACCTCACTCCTAGCTCCAACTCATCTTGCCTGGGGAAGGGCCAGAGTCCAGATTTGGCTCTGCTTTCCCAAAGAAGTTCTGAAAGCTTCTCTTCAGGCAAGAAGCCAGGAAGGAAAAGCATAGAGCTCAGGGTAGCCCCTGGTCCTGAGGACAGAGAGGGAGGTCCAAGCTCCTTTCTTCTGTTGTCATCCATTGCGTAGCCCTGTCATTACTTTTCTCTGATTACTTAAATGTACCAATCCACCTCTGAGTCAGCCTCTCCCTGCATTTGACCTTTTATTTTCTCCCTAGTTGTGTTTCCTTACCTGGGGAACCCAGATTCACTATCCTCTCTCCCTACCAGGTTGGTCTGAGACAGGATAGGTATCACAGAATCACTCCCCTCAACGGACACATTTGGGAACAGGAGTCACCAGTTGGGTTCCCAGCCCACCTTTAACACAGAAATCATTAGGGTGTGCTATTTTATGACTACTACTGCCCCCCTGCATAGCCATGAGGCCCTAGAGTGCAAGTGATCAAACCCCTGATACCCGGCCCCAAACCTGGATCCTAGTAAAGTCTCAAAACTAACATGTGGAACAGACTGTGAGATTAAAGGAGCCTCTTGGGCACAGTGGAAAAAGTCATGAAGGACATGGGAGAGGGGGCTGTAGGTCCCATTGTTTTCTCTTGTTTTGTAAGAGAAGGGTGTCTGATAGCTATTGAAGTACTAGGTGTTTGAAACCCCTAGTTAAAGTCACCTTCTTTTTTTCTAGTAAGTAGCCTGTGGTTCCCCAACTGTGAGCCCCGATCATGAGGCTCTGCCAATATCCTGCCCCTGCTGGAGGGGAAAGAAGGGGCTTTGGGGACAGTTTCCACCTCCAAGTGACTGAAGCAAGTGGTCCTACTCCAAGCCACACTATCTTTTGGGCCTTCTCTCACTTCCTGGGGTTCTATTAATGACTCCTGAGGTGGTGCAGGGTCTAGGTAGTGCAGTGGCCTAGGGACTATTTCCCTATCCAGGCAAGCCCCCAGCCTCCTGAAACTTCAGCTTCCTGACAGCCCAAACTTTCTTTGGGAGAAATTCCGTCAATGAAGGTGACATTGCTGCATCCCTTATTGGTGATTAATAAGGGGAATCATGGGGATGTCTGCAGAATGAGCCTTTGCTGGATACTGGGGCCTCCCATTTGGTCAGGAACCAAGGACAAAGAGGAGAGACACTGGAAAGCCTGATAGACACAAATGGGAGGGAGAGACATAAGCAATAGGCAAGAGGAGGATTAGACCCAGGGGAAAAAAGCTGCAGAAAGAGGAATGGCAGACACAGGAAAGAGACAGACAGGAGACAGAGAGAGAGAGAGAGAGAGAGAGAGAGAGAGAGAGAGAGAGGAGAGGCAGAAACTAGAGAAAGGAGGGGCAGGCAGGGGAAAGAGAAAAGGGGACAGCCTTCTAAGCACCAGACAGGTTTTAGGTGGACTTCCTCCCCTTCCCAGATCCTCAAGCTTTGCAGATCCCAAGGCCAGCAGTGCTGCTTTGAGAGCGGTTCCAACAAGATCTTGGGTCTCAATTGCAGAAAATTCCTAATTCCTACTAGTTTAGCTTTAGTACAGACCAAGGGTCCCCTTCTTCTTAAAGAATGCTGGCTTAACCACGCCCCCCCCCCAGCCTCAAGCCACCAAGAGCAGGGAGCACTGGGAAGGGAGGTGGTGTTCTAGGAGCTGGGAAAGGTCATCTCCCTGGGCAGGATTGGGCGGAGGTTGGGTGGCTCCAAGGAGAGAGCTGGGCACACATGGTCCCGGTACCAGACTCCCCGGGCACTGCAGGGAACCAAGAAGATCCCTTCCCACATTCTAGGAGCCAAGAGAATTGGACCTGAGAGACCAAGAGGGGAGTTTCCATCTCGCCCCGCCTCGGGAGGAAAAACTTTCCCCAGAGGCCGTCTTCTTGCGTTGGGTACCTCTGGCAAGGTGGGAAGGAATCGCGCAATCCAGGATTTTGCAAAGGGTGTCAGGTTAGCCCAACGGTCCCTTCCCGAGGGCGGGAATGTACTGCAGCTAAGGCTCTGAGAGCCAGATCCCTCTGCCTTTGTGCCCAGAACATTTCCGGCAGCCCGCTTTCTCTGCCTGTGCGCATAGCTGCGCGCCTAAACGCTGGCGGGCGTGGAGGTTGCTTCTCCCTATGCTGTGCCCCAGAGCCCGTCTTTGCTCTTCCCTTATCTCCCGTTGGTGTCAGCCGGAGTCTCAGTCCTCAGTAGGTATCGGTCTGAATCGGCTTCCCAAAGGCCAAGCTGCGCGTCCGAGAGCCTAGTGATCTGACTAGTTGGGTTTATCACCCGCATTTCCATGATGCGGGTGCCCAGCAGCTTCTGACTTAAAACCGGAATCCAGGAACCGAGGTGTCAGGGTTGCCCCCGGTTCCGACCATTCCCTCAAGTAATGCCTAAGAGGGCCGCTTTGGGGTCTCCACATGCACCTGCCTGAAGCGCCCGTCCACTCTGATCAGATACGGATTTGCCCCGGGGTAGGGGTCGCACACTGGATGCCCTGCCCCCAGGCCAGCCCCAAGCCCCTTCCTGGCCCACCTGACCGTTCTTGCAGAGGTCTGCCCACATACTGGTGCCGTCGCCGCCGCGCATGAGGACATGGTAGGTGAAAAAGTAGGTGCCGGGAATGTTGCACGTAAACTTGCCGCTGGCCGCATCGTAGTTGTTGCCTAGGTTGGTGACCACGTCGTCAAACTTCAGCACCTCGTAACCCTCGTGAGGATTCTTGAGGCCGGCGTAGAAGGCCACTCGTGGCACTGTGGTGTAGGTGGCCGTGCTGATGGCGCCGCTGCCCCCTGCGCCCGGCAACCCTGGAGGGCCCGGCTTGCCTGGCTCACCTTTCTCCCCGGGCGGCCCCACCGGACCCGGAGGACCAGGGTCCCCGGGAGGCCCGGGGGGACCCGGCTTGCCCGTGCGGCCCGGCTTCCCCTGGGGGCCCTGCACCAGCGTGGAGGGCGGGGGAGCGCCGCTCTGCTCACTCAGGGCGTCGCTGCCGTCGGGCCGCGCGCCCGCGCCGGGGCCTCGCGCGGGGTAGGGGTCGCACACCATGCGGCAGGTGCCCAGCATCTCATAGTGGCCGTCCGGGCTGCCCGAGCTCACCAGCACCGGGATGAGCACCACCAGCACCAGCAGCATCACCACGCCCGCGGCGGCCGCCAGCAGCGTCTTCCGGCCGGCGCGGAGCCTGGGGAGAGCCGGGCCGCCCGGCCGCGCCGTCGGGGCAATGGTGCCGGCGGGCGAGGGGCGCGGGCTGGACGCCCGCGCTCAAGGGCGGTCCGGCGGGGCTGCGGGCATGGGGCCAGGCCCCGGGCGCCGCGCTGCGCTGCCTGCGCTGCGGAGCCCAGCAGCCGGCTCCTGCCTCGCGCCTCCCTCCCGCTGCGCGGTCTGACTGAGCCCGGCGGCCGCCGCCTCCCGCCTTGCGCCCAGCTCCTCCCGCTTGCTAGCACTCCGGCCACCGCCCCCTCGGTTGGGCCCCGCCCCTCCCGCTCTGCGCCGCTCGGAGAGCGCGAGGGGTGGGGATGAAGGCGGGGCCTGCGCCTAATTGGGCCGCGGGCGGTTTGAGGTGGGAGGGGCAGAGAGGGGCGGGGCTTCTGAGACGGGGGCGGGCTCTAGGAGAGAATTGAGACTGAGAAAGCCAGAGACTCAGAAATGGGGAGGGGGGCTAGAGTCTGATAAACAGGAGTGGATCCCACAGGGAAGGGGAGGTAGGCACCAAAGAGCAAACGCAAGGGTGGGCATTAGGGAGAGCTAGAGAGCGCCAAGAAAGATCTGGAGAGGACAGGCCTCGAGGGTTGGTCACGAGGGATCGAGGGAGAGGGAAAGCGTGGGACCGTGATCCGCAGTGGGGGCGGCAGCGAGGGGGTAGCGCCCGGGTCTTCAGGGGACAAAGAACGATTAAGAGGAGGACCAGAAAGAGGGTTATGAGGGGAAAGAAGAGAGTAAGGAAGGGAATAAAAGGGGGGACCATTCTGCAATCAGGCCTCCCCTCCAGGCCTGGGAGATATGGGGTTGTATGCTGTTAGAGTGTCCAACGGAACCCAGGTTCTTAGAGCAAACGCCTCCTCCTTTATTTTTCTGGCTCTGTCACGGGACCCGCCCTCTCCCAGGAGGGGCAAGATCTTCAACCTTTGCCCCGACCTCACTGAGCTACCTGCCAGGCTGCTTTTACCTGGGGTCTGCCTCCTTGGTTTTCTCTGGACAATCCCCTTATCCTTGCTTCTAGTCAAGGAAAAACGGGAATCCTGAGGTGAGCACCCCCATGGTATTTCTCCAAGTTGACCCGACCCGGACAAGTACGTCCCTGGGTGGTGGCCCCCCTCTTCCTCTGTCCCTGACCCTCAGCCCCTCTGGGGTCCCCTAACTCCTCTTCCCCTCAGGTCGTATGAAGCTCTCCTCTTCCTCGAGTGCACTAAAGTGTTTAGGTTGCATAAAATGAAATGTGTCTGCTTCCATCAAAATATTTGTCACATTGTTTGAGGCTCAGCTTGTGCTGCTCCACTGCTCCTCCTTCACCCTCCTTTATCCAGTCCACCAGGGAGTGCTCTGCCATTCAGAGGCCTCTGGCCGGTTGCTAAAGGATGACTCTCCAGTCTCTTTCTCTCCTGAGAGACCCTTTCCAGATCACACCCTCCCTTTTGACCTACCACGTTTCTTAGGATTCTCTGGCGTTCCGAGCCCAAGGTTGAGTGTGCACACCTGGCCCTGAGCTGGGAGGAGAAGGACAGGAGGAGTCAAGGTGGGTTGCAGGGGGCTCCAAGCACAGAGTATAGAGAATGACCCTCCCCATCACCAAAGAGGGAGCTAATTATTTTTTTTAATAAATAGTATTTAAGCAGGGAATCATGTGTCAGACCCTTTGTAGAATGCTTTACATATGTGATCACACTCGATCTTCACATGGATCCAAAGAGGTAAAACCCACCATTACTCTCATTTTGCACACGGAGAACTGAGACTGCGAAGTTAAGAGATTTGTCCCAAGTCACAAAAGTAATAAGTGGCAGAGACGGGATTCAAACCCTCAGCGGGCTCCCCGGCTCCCCAATCTCTATGCGTTGGAATCTCTAGATACTGTTTATCGTCTAAACTGCTTGGGGAGGAAGCTCAGGGCAGCCAGGTCCTGCTCATCCAGGCTTAGGCAGGGTGGTCCTCTTTTTCAGCTGTCAGCCTCCCGGTCTCCCGAGGCAGTCTCCTCAGTGTGACTCCCCGAAGAGCGACAAGGCTGGTGACCCGAGGGACACGTGCGCGGTCATTGGAGTATAATTTGTACAGAACCCCTCACCCCCACAGGACGAGCCCTTCCTCCGCTACGCCGCTACCTGGTCCAGCACCCGCAGCCCTAGCGAATGCGCTGGGGAAACCGGCTGGCTGCGGGGGCGGAGGAGGGGGCGGGAGCGGCCGCCCCCGCGCTCGCCCAGGCGTCCGAGAGGCGCGCTCGCCGCTGCACGGCGCCCCGCCCCCCGCTCCGAAAGCGCGCCCGCTCCCCTGGCGCGGTGTGGCGTCTCTGTCAGCCCAGCCGGATTCTCCCCGCTTCGCTGGAGTGGAAAATAACGGCTTCAAACTTTGCAGAGAGGAGCTGGTGCCAGCACTTTAATTAACAGCCATCTTGGCCTGCGAGCCGGGGCCACCGGCTCGCCCCTCCCCAGGGCTCGCCAGGCCCCGCCCCGCCACCACCCCCACCCGGGTCCCGAAAGAGGCCCCTGCATCCCCGGCGCCCAGCGCCCCTTTCCCCCCGAGATCCGACTTGACTGACTGGAGAGCGTATGCTGCTTTGAGGGGCGTCTCTCCAGCTTAATACCCGAAGACTGCCCCAGACTCTCCCCTCCATTCTTAAAAGCCTGGCTGTCGAAGATTCTGGAATTAAAGACATGCATGCCATTCCAACCTGGTGATTTTAGGTAAACGGTTTAACCTGCACCGTCTTAAGTGTCCTCCCCTGGGAAAAAAGGTGGTTGTGAGGATTAGGTGAGATATATGTAAAATGGCGGGTTTTGTATCTGACCCTTATTATGCACCTAGCAAGCAAGCTGTAGATAATATAATTATTTTACCACAAGGTTAAGAAGGCCCTCTAATCACTTAAGTCCTTGGGTCTCCTCTTCCCTGCCATTTTTCAGCAGATTGCTTGGCATTAGGAGAGGGAAGACAATGGGGCTACACTTCCAGGTTCCAACAGGGAACTAGATGGGAGAAGAAGGAAGCCTGACAAGGCCGGGGACCCAGATATTTAGGATGGGAAAGGGGTGAGCCACTGCACAGAGAAGGGCTGGTGGCACTGTTGCCAGCTGAGATGCTGTCAAGACTAGGGCTGAAGGTCTGGCTTTGCTTTCCCTCCTGGGGGTGTGAGGTCCTCCTACAGCTCCCTCATTCCAGGGGAGGGATAGGGTGCTGGGTGCTGGGGTGCTTTGGGGAGGGTACAGGGAAAGGGGTAAGTAAGGCTCTTAACCTATGCATGGCTGCGTTTAGGAAACTGGATGGCTGTTTTTGATATTTTGACTTTCTTTGAATGAATGTGAGTGGGTGTGAATGTGTAAGAAACTGTGTGTCTGGGTTTGTGAGTGAAGAGGGGTGCTAGGCCTTGATTCACCAGTTATCAAATCTGCATTCTTTTAATTTTATTTTTTTTATTTTTTTATTTTTTTGCATTTACTAGGCACTGTGGGATGTTGCTAGTAGTGATGTGTCCAAAAGGTCAGACCTATTTAGTGTCCCTAAGGATCTTACTGTTTGGCAGGGGACACAGGTATAAAGAAATTATATATGCTATAGTAATTATTGTAGCCAACTTTTTTTTTTGAGTACTTATTAAGTGCAAGATTCCATTGTAAGCACTTTATGTGGATTACCTTGTTTAAACTTAACAGTCTATTATCATGAATTTAAAACTATTACATGGCTTATGCCATTTAACAGGAAAAATCCTGAGAGGCAGGTACTATTGTTTTCTCCATTTTATGGCTGAGGAACCTAAAGGCTTGGGTGGAGGTTTGTACCAGTTGTTATGAAGCACAGATGAAGAACGGCCTATCCAGAGGAATCTAGGCAGACCTTCAGATGATGAGTCATTTTACATGGGTCTGCCCATCCATTCATCTATCCATCCATCCATCCATCCTCCATTCATTCTATAACCCATTTTTAATTGAGTGCTCAACACATCTCTTGTTGTCACAGGACATAATGATGAGCAAGAAAAGGTTTCTGACTTCATGTAGTTTATAGTGTATTACTGGAACCCAGACAATTAAATAGGCCATTGCTATCAAGCCTGACAAGCATTTTATTTGGGAGTTCATGGAATGCACTTGAATTCATCTGGAGGCTGGAATCATGAGAAGCTTCCTGGATGAGGTGATTTTTATTTTTATTTTTATTTTTAATTTTTAATTCTTTAGTTTTCAGTGGACACAACATCTTTGTTTGTATGTGGTGCTGAGGATCGAACCTTGGCCCCATGCATGCCAGGCGAGCACACTACCGCTTGAGCCACATCCCCAGCCCCGATGAGGTGATTTTTAGATTAAGCCTCGACTGAAGAAGTCAGCAAGGTGCAGATGATGCCAGAGGCTGAGGAGGGAGGGAAGGGGGAAAAGCATGTGCTAAGGACCCAGCTTGTAGGTCCTTTGAGGGCTGTGACAAGGAGTTTATAATTTATCCTAAGGGCATTTAGAAACTACTGAAGGATGTTGAGTGAGTGATACAATCAGATTTTTCAGGTTAGAATGATCACTCTGGCCACTATAGGAAGGATTAAAATAGAGTAAGAGTGTTGATTAGTAAAGTAAGAGGTAGATGCTGTACGCCAGGTGAAAGCTGATAGTGGCCTGGTTTGGGAAGACAGGAGTCAGAACTGGCAGACTTGGTGATAGATTGAAGAAGATGGGGATGGGAGGGGCAGGAGAATTCCAAGTTTGTGGAAGGATCTTAAAATGTACATTAAAGGAATAAAGGATAGATGGACATTGTTGCTGTTCTCTGGGCACCACCGATATGTAGCAGCTACTCTGTTGAATTCCCATAATAAGTCTAAAGAATAAGCAGTACCATATCCACATTGGAGGTGAGAATGCTGAGGCTCAGTGAGGTAAAGTAACTTACCTGGGATCACACAGTGGATAAGAGGAGGAGGCAGGATTGGAACTCAGGTCTGTTTGACTTCAGGAGAGCCTCCTCCATCCACCAAGCCCTGCAGGCATTTACCTGATGGGAAAGACAAGGAAGGT